ATAACGCGTAATTCGCCAGAAAATACGCGTTTTTCGCGTTTTATACGGGGAAAAACGCGGAAAACACCCCACCCCGCAGTAAAATCCATTAAAAGTCCCCTTCATGCCACTGCCAGCTGTCCACCCACATTTCACTCTATGGAGTCACCTCACTCGCGGGATCCGTCTTATTACTGGCACTTCCACGTTGGGGCCTCGTGGGATGATCATGATCATCATCCCGTCAACAGCCATATGTAGCAACCAGTCTTGCGGACCCCTCTGTGAGGGATTGTGGGCGAGAGCTGAGCGAGGTTCGAACCGGGAACCTCCCGATGAACAGCTTGGCAGCATAACCTACTTAACTAATCATCCTAATAAGATGTGTCCATGTGTCACTCTGCCCCACGTCCCCGGATTTTTTTCACCCGTGTCCCGCACCGACAACGATATCCTTGTCGGTGCGGGGATACCTGTTGGATATCCTTGTCGGTGCGGGGATACCCATTGGATATCCTTGTCGATGCGGGGATACCTGTTGGATATCCTTGTCGGTGCGGGGATACCCATTGGATATCCTTGTCGGTTCAGGGATACCCATTGGATATCCTTGTCGGTTCAGGGATATCCAAATAACTGGGATAGGGGGGCAAATTAGAGGCAGGTTTCCCTAGGATATTTGAAGTGTTGATTCAAGTTATAGCCAGTGCAAGGTTTGAGACTGTAGGCATAATGACCCCAAATATGCGTATTTCGCGCAAAACGCGAAATAATTTCGCGTTTTGCATATCACATGAAAAACACCTCACGTGTATTACGCGAAATTCACTGCTAAAATGCGTTTTTCGCGAAGTGAAATGTGAAATGTGTTTTTCACTAGTGTTTTTCACATCACGGGTGAAACTCCATTATTTCACTTCAGCTGAGAGGAAAGTTGATGAAAATTGATGAAGTTAATGCAGCATTGAAAAAAGAGAAGGAAAATCACGAAAAACAGTTGAAGACTTTGGAGGAAAGATGTCGAGAGGTGAGAGGACAAATCGATCACGTGATCGATTATCGTGAGTGGTAGCAAATGTAAAGATTTGATTTTTTTCTTCCCAGTGGGGAAAAATATGCACATGGAAATTCTGAGAGGGAAGTCTTATTGGTTTCTGTACACTTGCGAAGCGAGCGGAGCATATACCGCAACAACAGGCACTTTCGCGTTGTGCGTGCGTGCAGAATTATTCTGGCTTAACTACGCAGCGTGGGAGGCTATCAGATAGATGAAACGACTCCTCTATATGCGGAGGTGTTGGGAAACATCGGAAAACTCCATTATGCGAACAACTCGAAGAGATATGCACGAAAAACTTTAATGATGGAGAATTGTCATTCCCGGGGATCGAACCGGGGACCTGTGTAAAACTGATTGATTGAGTCCATGGATGTGGACTCTGTGAGCTCCGCCCCTTCGTCACGAAGGCCTAGTCTCTATAATCAGCTTTGGAAACGGAAAGGCGCGCGTATATTCCAACACTGCTGCCAAGAGGGTCATCGTACTACAAAATATAAATACAGTTATGTGTAGATTGATAGTTAATAATGTATATTATATATTGACCTTATCCATATCACGGTTAAATCCATGTATATATTGGTTGAGTTTCACAACCCGAGCTGGTGTAAAACTCGGTGAAAAACGCGATATTCGCACTACGCAGTAGTCGTGAGATATGTTTTTCACTAGTGTTTTTCATATCACTAGGGTGGCCGTGAAACTCCAATGATAATAATGCTAGATTTTATTAGTATAATAACAAATACCCAGATTGTTAATTATATGTTATATTAACCTTATTTGGATTTGTTCGTTGTTGTTGTTGTTCTTTTTCAGCTCCAATCTGCTCTAGAGGATAGTCAGAAGTCGCGACCAGTGACTGCTGAAACCTGCGTGGGTTCGAATTCTGGTGGGGGCATTTTTGGAAAATTTTTGTGCGAATTTTTTTGTAAATATCAGATCCCGTTATTTCGTCGGGGAATATAATTATCGATGATTCTGAGGATGGTGATGGGAAAAAGGGAAAAGGTAAAATAGAAAATATATCGGTTATTCCATTTTTTGGGGTTTTTTTGTTCAACTTTTCGTAAGATTTCCGGCAAATTTTTTTCATTTTTTCTTCACTTGATTGTAAGGAAAGCTCTCCTACTGTCATGGTACTCCAATATGATGATGAGTTTTAGGCAAAAACGGAGCGACTAAAGAGGACGCGAAGACTATTGCCCTTCCGGAGGATGAGCTCGCGAGGCTCGTCTCTATTATACAGGTAGACCCACTTTGATCATTTCTGTCTAGGAGGAACATGCAAATTATTTCGTGAATGATATCATCCTTTTCTGCGCTTTTTTTGGCGAAAAACGGCTTTTCGAAATGAGAATGGTGAAGTGCGGTTTCCAGAAAATGAGAATTTGTTTTTAAAGAAGTGAGTTTTTCTTGAAGTTTTATTCAGAATTTCGGTTTAGATATGTAGATGTCGGAGGAATTTTTTTTCATCATTGTATTTTTTTGTACTTTTTGTATTTTTTTGTATTTTTTTCGTACTTTTTTTTATTTTTTTGTGTCAGCGACTGAGTGCACGTTTGACTGCCACACGATTGGAGTTGGGCGAGCTGAAACGCCGCGGTTTTGCAGAAGCAGCATCGACTCAGCGAAAAAACGGTAATTTTATCGACGGTTTAGTTGGGGAAAATTTACACGATGTGTTAGGCGGACGAGATGGTGTTGATCGCGGGTTGTTGAGGAGAGTAAGTAGGAAGACGATATTAATCGTTGGGTAAATTTGTCCGTTTTCGGGAATATTTTCCCCTGTTTGTGCAGGGGGTTGATGATACTAGCGAGAAGTTTATGCTTGAGTCAATGGATAGTGAATATTCATATAGTTTCAGGAAATCTGAATAGCAGCGAATGAATGCATAAAATGTGTCAGTTCAGAAATCGGCGTTTGTTGTTGAGGGAAATATTCCGGGTTCGGAAAATTTTCCCCATTTATAGCAAAATTTGCGGTTCTCCTATATTGTTAACGTTTTTGCTATGCACATCCATGAAGTGCGAGTTCTTTGCGCCAGGGACGCGCGGGAAGTTTATGCAACTTTCACAGCTGTTATTAATTTCTCATGAGCTAGGATTTGATTACTTTCAGCCGTATTCAGCGAGCTCGAGTCGTCACGGCTTATTGGGAAGCTCTCCTGAATTTGCGAAGAAGAAAGGAACTTCACCAGCTTCGAACAAAAGTAAAAGAATCTCTGCTAAAATTTTCAAGGGGGCTTTAGGTTTGAAACTGCGTATAGGAAGCTAAAGCAAGGGATGGAAATTGAGCAACAATAATAGTGAGGTCCTTTTCACCCAAAATGTTAGATAATATACACAAGTATGATATATGTTTATGTTTGCGTCCCGGTGAAAGGGTGCAGAATGCGGCTTGTAGCAACCCGGGTTTGATTGATTTGACGACTTCGAAAAAAACAGGAACGAGTAGATTTCGCCCTGTTATGAATTCATTAATTGGGTTACTCACGCAAGGCTAACTACAGAAAATATGAGAATCCGAGAGGATGACAGATTTGTGATGGATGAGGTTCTCCTCTTTTCGTGTCGAATTTTGATTCCTTTTGTCTGATTCTATAGTATAATGGAGTTTTACAACCGTTTTACGCGAAGTGGCGTAAAACTGGGTGAAAACGCGATATTCGTGGTGATATGCAGTGGCCGTAAAATGTGTTTTTCACTCCATCACTAGGGTTGTGAAACTCCAATCTTATCAGCGCGAAAAAAAATCTGATA